ATTGAAATCTGGAAGTCAAAAAATCATCAAGGTCTGCCCATTTGGAAATTTCAGTTTTATTACTAACTGTTTGCTCCCAGAGTGATAAAGAAGTTGCTGGCAGTTTAGTGGAGCATAAAAATACAAATATTGGGTCCCAATTATCTATATTGATATCGTGTAATTTAAGAGAAGTTATACAATTATTTATATCCCTTTGCAAACGTTTGATTTCTCCTGCTGATTCATTCCTAACAGGTTCGAGGCTAAAAAGTATTTTTAACTGACTGTTTACCAAAATACGCTTATTTTCATACCTATCCCGAAGGTTTGACCAAGCATTTTCAAATCCAGAATTCGTCAGAGGTGATTTTTTAACAATTTCCAACGCCTCTCCTTGAGTACTCTGACGTAAATAAAATAGTTTTTCAACTGGCGTGATAGATTTGCAGCTAATGTACACCGCGCTGAACATGTCTCTAAAGGACGGCCATGAGAGATAGTCGCCGTGAAAGATTTCTGTAGTGCATGGTGGTAAACGTAAACGATGATCGGGTATTCGGTTCTCTAAAGGGTCTACTGCCTGGTTATTTGTGACCATTGTTGACGTCAAAGCGGATTGATTCAGAAAAGTTTGCGACAACTCACCCATTTGAGCAGCGCAGACGATGTAAGCTTCTCTACATTGCTTGAACAATTCTGATGCTTCTTTTTCTTCGTCCAATCCATCACTCCCAACACAAAATTGTTCATAAGCCGATCTAACTTTTTGCCAAAGTCCTTTAAACTCTTCTTTCCGAAGCTCTACCGTGAACATCGTATGTTCACTAGGGAGAATAGCAGTATATTCCTTTTCAAATTCAAGAAAAAGAGCGGCAAGCCTTTTGAATTTTAACAACATTGTTGATTGTGACATTTTAATTTCAAATAAAGCTTAAAAACTGCCACAGAATTATTAACAGAGAAAGCAAATTATGACAAATATATTTACAACCGCTTAAGATAACCTGTGAAAATAAGCAACCAGTCTCGTTTTGACGATTCTATTTTATCAATCCAACAATTTGTATTTTATGAGTACTCAGAAATATAAGAACAAATATTCTTTATTCCTGTATTCTGAGAATATTGTCACCGTCAATGTTCGTATAAATTTCAAAAGATAACAAAACAATGAAAGGAAATAGACAATATATATATTAAATTCTATTCCAGTCACGACAGTATAGAAATTACTGAAAGCTCTTGTTATTATAAGTCTCCACTGAAAATTGCCTCGACAACAGATATGTATAACAGCTGAGTGTTATTATTTCGTAGTGAATGCAAACTTCATATGATCACTAAAGTTGACCGAATAAAAAGAAGCAAGAACAAAACAAACCACGAATATTAATTTTTTCTTACTCTCTTTTCTCTTGAAACACAGCAGATAATATAAGTAATTCAAGGAATAAGTTGCGTTCCTTGAATATTTTCCCAACAAATTTAGGTTTATTTTAATCTTTTCAATTTTCACGCACTCACACTCACACTTTATTTTTAATAATATATAAAAAGGGTATGTTTTTCCTCAATTTTTACCACTGGATTTAATAAAGGTTTTAACAATTAAATTTTTTCACTTTTGCTTCAATTTAGATATAAACTAATGAAGAAGTAGTACAGAAAGAAAGGAGAGGACAATTGTTGTTGTTTTGATGCCAAATGTCGACTAGTGGTAGCGTAGTTGCCAGATCAATAATTTATAATGCGTAAAAATGGGGAATACAATAAAATTAACAATTTCCCAAAAAAACGAATTCTTGTTCACAATTTATAAAAAATTTTGGTTTTATTCATAAAACCAACGAAGTGTTACCTTTTTTTATGAATATCAAATGAAAAAATGTTCCTCGTTTTGCTATCCGGCTCGAAGGACTTATGTTTCCTTCCTCGCTGAAGGAAAAGTTTGCAACAACAAAAAAAACTGGATAGCAGCAACTGGAACCCAACCAGACAAAAAAAGGCAACAGATAAGCGGCGCGCGAAAATAAAAACAACGCTTTTTACAATCCGACAAGATTTCGGTTTGAAGAAATTAAGCAAATTTCTTCCGTTTATTAAATGTACAATTTTAATAAATTACACACGATCAGTTAAACAATTCGAATTTCGTGTCTTTTTAGAAAAATGGCGATGCGAACGACAACCAAAGTTTTTCGGTCCAAAAAAAGCAACTGAACTCGCCGTCAAACTTGCTCGCTGCTAAAAAACTGACGAGAGGTAATCCATCAAAAAATCCTTCGTCCAGTACATTGTGGCCACATTTATTTCAGTATTGCCATATCTTCTTAGAATTGCAACATCTCCTCAGAATTGCCACTGGAGCTCGTTTTAAAATTGTTCACGAACGTGAACACCTATTATGACCTACAAATACAAATTTTTGGACAAATCCGTAACAAAAACATGGCGAAAATCAGTCGTCACGAATATCGGGAGGTACCGCCATATGGGGACTATACCAAAACGTGGGCCTATACATACGATGTTTTGCCACCGGACCTAGAACCCATTATGACCTACAAATACCAATTTGTTGACAAATTCGTGGAGAAATGTGGCAAAAATCATCAAAACACCGAATATCGGGAGGTATCGTTATATAGGTGCTATACAAAAATGTGGAGCTATACATACAATATTTTGCCACCGGAGCTAGAACCCACTATGACCTAAAAATACAAATTTTTATACAAATCCGTTTAAAAATTTTGCAAAGATCATCAAAATACCGAATATCGGTACTGTTATATGGTGGCTATAGCAAAACGGTGACCGATGTATCTCATTTCCAATTCCAACCATCCTAGACAAAATACAATTTTTTCTGCCAAATTTTGAAGCTCTACGTCAAATAATGTGGGCTGTATCGTGATATCAACAGATAGACAGGTGGAAATCAATAAATTAGAATTTTTATATCTTGAATATACAGACTGCTGTAATTTCTAAGCCACTCGTCCGACAGCTGTTAAAATTATTCCAGTGACAGCTCACTATATTGTTTACAAGCGTACAAAAGCATTTTGGTGAGAGTTTTCCAGAAAAAAATTATTCGTGATGGAATTTAAGCGTGATAGTGTGATTTCTTCTTATTTGACTGGAGAACCACAAGTGGCTATCGTTGGAGCACTCCAGCATTTAAAAGTGAATAAATCTTTTGTGTCTCGTACCATCGATCGTTATCGTGATACTCGTAGCGTCGATTCGGCAAATATTAGAAAATTATCTCTGGGTAAAGCCATTGAAATTCCAAAAAGTGCAAAAACTTACACCGCAATGGAAAGAAAATAGACTCAAAAGAGCTAAAGAATTGCTTTGCTTGGCCGAATGTGCTGAACTGCCGAATTTGGTTGCCTCCGATGAGAAAACATTCGTGGTCCAGCAGTTTGTAAACAAATAAAATGATCGTGTTTACTTTCCAAAGAGGTCTGCTGAAAATGCGCAACTTCGGTTGGGCACCAAAACTCAAGCGCCGGCCATGGTGATGGTGTGGGCCGACATAACAGCCGATGGTCGCTCTCCGTTCGTATTAATCGACCGTGGTATCAGAATAAATGCCGAATATTATCGCGAAAATATTCTGGAGGGTGTATTAAAGCCTTGGGCACCCAAACATTTTAGCCCCAGATCTTGGACATTCCAACAATACTCACCATCGCACTCAGCACGCGCCACCTAAGAATGGTTACTCCTCGTTCCTCGCTTCATTTCCAGCGCACAATGGCCACAAAAATCTCCGGATACCAATCCGTTGGACTATTGTGTCTGGAGTATTTTGGAAAGCAAGGTTGACACTAAAAAAATACCAAAGTGTCGATTATCTCAAGCAAGTGCTTCGCCGGGAATGAGCTAAAATACCGCAGAGCAACATTCGAGCAGCGTAATTCGTGCCAAAGGTGACCAATTCGAACAAATCTAAATATATTCTAAAAATTGATGCTATTTCCAACATTTTTTTGCTTTCATTCAATAAAATTTAAAAACAAATGCAAAAATTGTGGCGTTTGACTTTGTTGCAGTTTTTTATCTCACCCTGTATATGGAAGCTATAGCTTTATCTGAACCGATTTTCTCTAAATCTAATATACTTGCTTCTAGACTGAATTCGTTGGAATGTACCAAAATGCAAATTATTTAGACTGACATTGGCCATTTGGAGATATTGGCCGAAATCGGTTGAAGATATATATGGGAGCTATATCTAAATTTGAATCGATTCTCGTCCTTGGGCCAACCAAATATTGTTTGGAAAATTTTATCTCAATCGGATAAAAAATGTGACCTGCATTTTGTTCACAAACATACATGAACAGACAGACGGACTGACAGGCATAAATCGACTCAGAAAGTGATTCTATGAAGATCATCAAAAGTAACTTCCTTCTTCATGTTACAAAGAAATTCACCAAGACATAATACCTTTACCACTATGTGGCGTAGGGTACAAAAATGACATGTCGTGCTGTTAGTTTTTGGGGTGCATTTTACGGCTAAATATAATCCAATGGTCATCCAAAATGCCAGAATTCTTCCCTGTGCTTAACTATCTTCTCAGGCGTGTCAATTGGCTTCAATTGTGTGATCAGGATTTTTTTTTTCTGTTTTTGGTTCATTTGAACACCTAAATATTTTGCGATCATCTCCAAAAGCAAGAGGCCCCTCTGAGTCTCCAAGTTTAGACTCATCTATATGATTTGTTTGTCTACGATATTTGGCTACATTCGTCAACGAAATCGCCTATTGTGTATTTCGGATATCGCCTGTAAGTAATGTTGGTATTTTTCACACAAAAGTAGTGGTCCATTCCACTCGCTGTCTTAAATTCTAACTTCATGCGAGATTTCGTGTCCTTTGGTTTCTTTATAACGGCTGGAAAATCAGGAACAATTTAAGTTGCTGGTCCATTTCAACCCCTAAATATATTGCGGACATTTTTGAAAACAATAGGCCTAGCCCTTCTGAGCCTAACTCTACACTGAGGGAAAAATCCCGTTGCGAAATCAAGCACGTATGTTGTCATTTTCGCAACGACCCGTTGTTATATTTTTCAACAACGGCTGTTGGTGAATTGTGCACGAACGTGCTCAAATTGACACCGAGACGTGGTCAACTTTCGGTACCAACAACAGCCGTGCTTAATTTGTCCATTTGTAATATTGGTAATTGCAGCCGATTACACACGAGTAAAAAATGACAACGGTGGTGCATGATTCACACACGGTCGTTGTCAATATGACACCGGTCGTGTATGAATTATGCACCACCACCTGCATAATGATGCACCACCGTTGTTACTTTGTACACCGACGTGCATGAATCGTACACGATCGTTGCCATTTTAGCAACTACCGTGTATGAATCATGCACCACCGTTGTCATTTTTTTTACTCGTGTGCAATCGGCTGCATATTTACCATTTTTTCCGTGTTATTGAAAGAGAAAGGACGCATTGTGCAAAAAATTTATTGAAAATGAATAATAATTCGCAAGATCCTCAAAATATCATTGGTGAGTTGTTAGAAATCGATGGCAATATTGTTGTGGTTCGCGATACAAACCATTGCAGCAGTCAAGATGCGGAAAACAATGAGGACGATTATATGTTAAGGGAGTTCTTAAAAGGAATAAATATGGAGTCGCTTTTTGAACAATTAAAAGGTAAGTAAATAAAAATGAATTTTTCAGTTAATCAGTGTAATTAACAAAGAATTTTCTTTTTTGTTCTTTTAGCATCACATGTAACATTTCGCAGCTTGCAGTACTTGAAAAAAGAAGATTTAAAGGAAGCAGTGCCACCATTGGGACTGCGTGTTGAATTCAGAGAAAAGCTCTTTGCTTGGAAAAAACGAAAGGTACGTATTATTTGTTTTACAGAGTTGAACTCAGTATTAATATTGTCATAACAATAGCTCGGGATTGATGACGAAACTATGTCAGTTCCATCTAAAATAGGTGAATGGTGGAAACGCAACGAGACACCTGCAAGTACTCCTGGTACTCCCGACACTACAGGTTCGAACTGCTCAAAAGCCAAAGGAATTTTGTCAGAGGTAAGGTAAGAGTAATATTTGTGTAAGCATAGTTAATGTAGTTTTTTTATTTAATATAGGATCTAACGGAATTGTTAACACATACCTCGAAGGGGAAACTAGCGCTTGAATGTAGTAGCGTTAATAAGAAATTAAGTGACGAGCAAAGAGATGATATAATTAATATAATTATTGAAGATATTTTAACCAACAATGTTACTCTTTACACTCAAGACTATATGCGCATATTGGATGAAATTTGTTCCGTTTTTCCTCTTGAAAACGAAATGAGGGTAAGATTAACAATATAAACAACGTATCTGATTATGTAGTTTCTTAACTTATAATATGTCTTTATTTTTAGGATTATTATTACATTTCAAGAAAAGGAAAGAACAACGCAAGCGGAAAACTTTATGCCAAGTATAGAAACAAGAAGTCCAAAAGAATAAAGCTTTTGATTTCCGAGCCTAGCACAAGCAAAGCAGCAACTCACACATCTCCTAATTTTTGTAACAAAGATGTTCCCGAAATTGATGAATCAGTTGAAAATTCATTGAAAGCTTCCTTACTAAGAGAATGTAATGATTGGGGATCGATCTGCGAAAAATGGAAAAGATCTTTTAACATACGGCAAAGAGATATAAAAAATTTAAGTAGCCATACATTTCTCCTTGAATGGACGAAGTTGTCCGATGCAAGAGCTTCAGAATTGGTAAGTAGCCATGAGCTATTTATTTGTATATGGATACTAATGTTTCGTTTTAGGTCAACATTGATTTCGATATTATGTATCCACAGAAAGGCAATCTTCTACTTTCTAAATGGGACCAATTTAAGAAAAAAATTTACAATTATTATGGGAAAAATATTCATAACGAACATTGCAAACAACTCTTCGCAAATGTTTTGACGGCAAGCAGCATAGGTAAATTTTAATTCCTGATTTATCATAAACATTAAAAGTAATATTTATTTTATATTTCGGTTGCAGATGCTCAAGATTATATATACGCAATACTGTTGAATTCAGTTTTACCATCACCTGCTAGGTTTAAATGTGGAAACGGTAAATTACGAAAAAAAGTAACAATAGCTGATTCGCAGGAAAGTTTCGTACTGCGACTACCGACAATTAACGATTATAAAAGGCAAATTGATACAGTCACTGAAAAGTATTACAATGCTGGATTAACTATACAGCCATTTATAATTGTGGAGGGTTTGTCCGATTTCAATATAAAAGGTTTTTATGTTTTTTTTAACCACAATTTGTTAAAATTTCAATCGTTCCTCGAATGTTTAGATACATGTTTTAAAATTTTTCATGCACTTTCTTTAAAATATCCAAATGCCTGCCAAATTCCATGGATTTTTATCCAAAAATATTTTTATGAAATTAATACTGTATATGATATAAAATCAGTTAATTTGACTTCACTTATTAATTTCTGCAACAATAATTAAAGTACAATTCAAAATGTATATTTGCTTTCGTTGCCGTAAGCATTTTGATAAGGCAAATCTTTTAATAGCTCATTTGAAAACAGACCATTTAATGTCCACTAAATTTTTAAAAGTACAATGCGTTCAGGACAACTGTAAGCAAACATTTACAAAATTTACGTCATTCAGAATTCATTTAGAAAAACTTCACAAGAATCACACAAAAGCTCCACCAATGGTTAAAGCCATTAATGTGCCAGTTGAAATGTCATCATCAAAAGAAAATGATTATACAAACAGTGAAACTGTTATTAACAACAATACAATAGAAAAGGATTTAAATGTTTTGAAAAAGAAAACCTTATATCTGTCTTTACAATTACATGGTCAAAGCTATATGCCTAGAAATCATGTTATAGAAATACAACATTCTGTTTCAATTCTGCTTTCATCCATTTCATGTACAATTGAAAAATATATAACTGATCATCCAAATTATGAAGACTTAAGGTACTTACTAAACTTTTGTAAAAATCCTTTCGAAGAAACTAGAACGGAATATAGACTTTTAAAAATTTTAAAAGAACTAAACTTTTATGATGATCCAAAGGTTTATGTAATTAGCAATCAAGTCTCGGAAATTGTTATCAGCGGAAATCCCAGTTTAGGTCCAAAGTTATCCAATATTTATATAATGCCACTGAAATTCATGATAAGTGCCCTTTTTAAAATTCCAAATCTCTTAGATTTGACATTAGAAAACTCCAAAAAATTCCTAAATTCACCTGTTTTACAAAATTTTACAAACGGTGAGTTATATAAAACTAAATTATTAAAATATCAGTACAATTTAGTTATTCCCTATGTCCTTTACATGGATGATTTTCAAATTAATAATCCTCTTGGAACCCATACATTTTCCATATGTGGTTGTTATATTAGCTTTCCTTCAATGCCACAGCACTTGTTGTCAAAACTTGATTATATATTAACTGCTGCGTTTATACCATCAAAGGATTTAAAAGAACGTGGAAATGAAGTTTCATTTCACAATCTTGTAGAAGAGTTAAAAATTCTAGAAGAAGGGGTTGAAATTTGTGTTCAACAAAGTGTTCAGAAGGTGCATTTTATTTTAGGTGTAATTATTGGAGATAATTTAGCAGTTAATAGTATTTTAGGCTACGTGCAATCATTTAACTCTAAAAGATTTTGCCGGGTATGTAGAAGAAAAAAGTCCCAAATGCAATTCGACGCAATTCAGCATTTAGATAGTTTAAGAAACCAAGAGAATTACAACTCAAATGTATTGGAAAATAATTTTCAAGAAACAGGTATTAAAAACAAGTGTATCTTCGAATCTTTACCAAATTTTAACGTCACTGAAAATTTTTGTTTTGATATTATGCATGACATTTTCGAGGGCATATGTGTCTACGATATGTCTAATGTAATTCTCGGGCTGATTCAAGAAAATATTGTTACGTTAGATTGTATTAACAGCAGAAAATCTTTATTCCAATTTGGAGAAATTGAAGTGGGAAATAAATCTGGACCACTAGATTTATGTAGATTGAAAAACTATAACTTAAAAATGACAGCTAGTGAAACTATGTGTTTTACTAATTTTTTACCTTTAATGGTAGGCGATTTAATTCCTTTCTCCAACGATCACTGGAAAGTTTTTATAATATTATTACAAATAATCGATTTACTTTTAAGACCAAGTTATATAGAAGACGATTTAATAAAATTGGAAGAATTAATTAGAGATCACCATTCACTTTATATAACATTATACGGTTCGTTAAAACCGAAACACCACTTTCTTGTCCACTATCCCACAGCTATCCGAAAATGTGGTCCCCTTAAATATCTCTGGAGCATGAGATTCGAAGCTAAACACAAGGAAGCAAAAGCCTATTTAGGAAATACTACATCAAGAGTAAATCCCTGTCGTTCATTATCTATTAAGTCTGGATTGAAATTTTCCAATTTTTTATTAAAACACGAAGATAACTTAGAACCAAATGTTATCATTAATACGCATACCATCGAAGATTTGGCAAAAGAGGAATATTGTTACAAAAAAAGTAAGCCAGTTTTAAATTACCAAAATTGCAAAGTGTCTGATGACATTTTTTTTAAGGGAACTAGGTATAAAAAAAACTATTATTTAGCAACAAATAATGCCGCAATTGAACTTTTCAAAATTAAACATTTAATAATTGAAAATGAAAATGTTTACATTTTATGTAACCAAGTAAAAGTTAAAAACTTTGATTACCATTTACAATCGTATGAAGTTGGTTCTCTGAATGAGGATACAATTTTTTTAATACCAATTTTAGATTTTATTACTTACCCATTTCACTTATATCCTATGAATAATGGAAAAGTTTATTTCAGATTTAAGTTAATTTAATTTGTTTCTATACATTGAATATATGTAATTCGAATTGTTTTGTTAAATCAAATATGTATTTATATTGAATTTATGTAATTGGTTTCGTTCAATAAAATACTTTTCAAAAAATGTCGTTTCTTCTACTAAGGGTATAAAATGGAAAAGGAACGGATATCAAAAAATGACCACCATTGATTTCAATCTGACAACGGGCGTTGACAATCCGACAACGGAGCGTTGACAATCTGACAACGAAGCGTTGACGATCTGACAACGAAGCGTTGACAATCTGACAACGGGGCGTGCTCGAAATGACCACGTATGTGCTCATTTCATGCACATCTGTTGTTGAAATCGTTGCCAAAATCTCGGTGTCAAAATGACAACAGCGTGCTCATTTTGACACCAAACGTGGTTGATACACTATCATACACGGATGTGGTCATTTCATACACGGATGTTGTCATTTTTTCTCTGGGTGTACCTTTGTGAAAAATTTCGTGAGGATCGAAAGATAATTGCAATCTGTATATAAATAATAAGCCCAACCTGAGTTGTAAAGTGAAAAAATATTACAAAATATACACCTCAATATTATAAGTCAAATTGAAAAAATTGCATGCGATAAAAAAATATGAAAAAAAAAATGTCACAAAATACTACAAAATCTATATGAACATCATTATTGGCATCTTTTTATGTGATTTCTAAGATTTTATACTTTTATGCCAAAAGGGCATTCTAAATTGACAAAATTAGTCAAAATCGCTCCAGCCATTATGGAGTTATAAGCATTCTACCTAACATCCCCTTCCATTGTACATATTTCGCTAAATATATCCGATATTTTTTACTATCGGCATCTACGTAACGGTCAGAATTGACCTGTTCGTCTATTAGTGATTTCGCCGGCATTAAAAATATTCGCGGCTTAATGGAAAATTTAACTTTTATTTTAAATTTGACTTTTATTTTAACCACCAAATATTACCTGATGGCCATCAAAATTGCAAGACTTCTGCCCAGCCCAAAGCTCTAGCCCCATGCTAACTTCCGCTTCGATTGGTCTGTAACTGTGGCCTGTAGAGCTATTGTAAAATCAGGAAATTTTTCAGTTTCTGGTCCATTTCAACCCCTAAATATCATGCGATCATCTCCAAACGAAATATGGTTCTATTCTGACCTTAATCCCACACATTCTAAATTTCGTGAAGATGGGGCCATAATTGCGACCTGTAGAGTGATTACAAGATAACATGGACAGACGGACATACATAGCTAGATCGACTCAGCTCGGCGAGATAGGAAGATTCATATATACTTTTACTATGTGGGAAACCAACATCTCGAGGTGTTACATAATTTTTGGCCCAATCAAACTTATAATACCCCCAACACATAGTGTTGTAGGGTATAAAAATTGTATATCCCTTTTGTTTATTATTTTCAACGTTCTATCCACCTTATTTAACCCAATACACCAATGCAATTTAAACACCTTGCTTTCTATCGTTGCTTATATTCATAAATATAAACATATACGAACGAAGAGTATGTTCGTGTGCCTGGCTAAAACCAAAAATAGCTACTAAATTTTGTTTTGATGAATGGTCCATTAATTGCGACCATCCAAGAACTCCTCCCAAAACAAATACCTCTTTAATTGCAAAGCAAAAAGAAAACAAAAAAAGCCAACCGCTTTTTTGCATTGAATATTCAGGTGTTAGAGCGTTTTTTCACTTCACTTCCTCGCTGCGGTTTTAAGCGAACATAATTACAGTTCCGCCTTATTTAAAAGTCTCACCAAACAATGTAGCATCAAAATTATGATCAATAAAGAACACTTAACGAGCTAGTGATCAGGCAGATGTGGCAAGCCAAGTGCTTAGAAAATTTTAAAAAAATTAAGAAAATAATTAATTAAATTTTTGAAAAAATATGAGTTAATGATGTTTTTATCAGTGTTGATACCATCTATCTCTATTATCCCATTGCTTCTTGTCACTTTGTTGGAATTATCCAAATTTTTAATAGTTTGATATTGCTTTATTTATTTTATGTATTTGTAATGATTGAAGTGTTTTAAGAGAAAATATTACAACGTTGAGTCATTCTTTGCATTTTCTTTTTGAACAACTTCAAGATTGATAAAAATGTCTGTGATAAAAATACAGTATTTTGTGGTTTCCGATGAATGATTGATTTCTTATCAGCTTTACAAGTGGAATGTCTTAAAAATGTTTTGATGACATATTCTGCTTTATGCCCGAACGCATCTCTCCCTCTTGGTAGTGCGATCCACTTCACATCTTTCAAAAGCTGTACATTTTACATTGCCGCAGTAGACCGTGCCCTTGTTGGGACCTGAAAATAAAAATAGAACAAATTAAAACCAGTAAGGAAGGAAAGGTAAAGAGTCGGTCGGGGCCGACTGTATGATACCCTACAACACTATGTATATTTAGTAGAGCTCCCGAAACCAAAAAAAGTTTATAATGGGAACTTATGTGAAGTGGATCATTCCAACTATGATCCAAATAACATTTCTGTATAGTGCATGACATGACTTCGATAAGGATTAAATTAAACAACCATTTGGAACGAATTAGGAAATTTTCAACAAAAAAACAATAAATAAATAAATAAAATCCATTAAAAATTCTGTTAAAATTATAAAAATACCGAATATCATAAGATATATATTAGGGGATATACGATATTGTGGACCTATATAGACAAATCTCCTGGTGTAGAATTTCAGACAATTCCGTTAAAAAATGTAGCAAACACCATCAAAATACCGAATATCGGGGGGTAGCGTTATAGGGTGGCCATACGATATTGTGGACCTATATAGACAATTTTCTTTCAAGGGTTAAAGTGCTCACAAGGAACTTCTTGTGTGGAATTTCAGACAATTCCATTGAAAAATGTGGCTAAAATAATCAAAATAACGAATATCGGGGGTACCGTTATATGGGGGCTATACGATAACGTGGACCCATCTTCGAACTTGACCTGCCTGTAGACAAAAGACAGATCTGTTCAAAATTTTAGCTTCCTATCTTAATTCGTTTTGACTGTAGCGATAGCTATATCCGAACCGATTTTCACTAAATTTGAAGAACATGTTTCTAGGATGAATTGAGTCCGAATTGCCAAAATTCAGTCCATTTGAGCTAATATTAGCCATTTTGTGCACAATACACTTGATATCGGATAATTATATATATATGGGAGCTATATCCTAATCTGATTCAAACTCGTTGTCCGGTACCAAATATCATTCTTGTGGAGTGCATATTACGAGTGTAAGGGACGTTAAACCCCAAATCGGATGAAACATACATATGGGAGATATAGCTATATCTGAGCCGATTTTCTCGAAAGTTGATGTACTTGCTTCTAGACTGAATCCGGATATGCCAAAATTCAAGTAATTTGGACTGATATTGGCCATTTGGTGCACAATTAACCCGAAAGTATCAGTCGGTTTGTTGGACGGAAAGGGCCAATATTTTCCATTTTGAATATGACCTAAGCCGATATAATTATTGCGACTTTTGTGGAGGAGGTAAGAGATAAATTGAGACGATGTATTAAAATATGTAATACTAATACTGGTACCAGAAGTAGTGGTCCGATAAATTCCGTCTTGTTTGATCAAGTGTGAATGTGAAATTCATCGGATTATTCTTTCTCCCTCACAACGGGTAAAATAATTGCATTTCTTTAAGCAATAGATTTAATGTAAATATGGAATATGTCGGCCCACTCCTTCTGGTACCTCCCCCACATCCCACAAAACTCAACCAAATCCGTTGGAATCGATATAATGATGTCCGTCCGTCCGTCTGTCTGGCTGGCTGGTGCGCACGATAACTCTCGAAGAAAGTATCCGATTTCATTCAAACTTGGTACATCGTAATTTTATTGTCAAACATAGATCGAGTTCAGAGATGGGCCATATCGGTCAACTCCTTCTGGTACCTCACCCACAAAATGTAAGCATTTTCAAAGAAAACAATTTACTACACAGAAAGAGAAAGGATCATCCGATTTTGCACCAACTTTGCATATCCTAATATTTGCATTGGTGCTAGGTCAAGTGCGAAAATGGACAATACCGGTTCACTCCATCAAGTACTTCCTTCACAAGGGATCAAAATTTTGACTAATTATAACTCTTATAAAATGTGATGTTAAAGTCCGATACGAAATGGACAATATTGGCCTATTCCTTCGAAACCTAACGAAGGAGGTCTCTATGGAGGTCAACAATTTGAATAATCATAACAGAAGTTGATATACATTTAAATAACTGTTAGCAAAACCGACTGATGTTTTTTAAATTGTTAATTTAGAGATCAGACCTATGAAAGATATTACAAAATAGACCTACCTCTATTGTCGTAACTCACTGCTTTATAACTTCTCTTACTTACTTCTCTTTGGTATAGACCCAAGATTTATAAATATCTGTACTCACCATATTTATCAGGACGAGTATTGCCCGCATCGCCATACTTATTTAGCATATGACGTGGAACGCAAGACTTCTGATTGCAGGTGTCGGGACAACACTTACCACCCATGGTGGCACAATCGCCATCCTTGTAACAGCGAGGCGAACATGTATAGACTTTGGAAGATGGTGGGCATTCTGGAACGGTGAAAAGAACAACATTTGAAATAAAAATAAAATAAATATTTTTTAACAACGATTTCTTACCATTCGATTGGGCACTGATTATTTGCGCCATGACACAGGTGAACACCAAGACGAGGAAAATACAATTTTGACATTGAAAAGCTGTATTATTGTTAAAAATGTATGTCATTATTGTTGATCTACAGTTAATAATGTATTCAGAGAAAAAAAAAAAAAAAAAAAAAAAAAAAAAAAAACATTAACTGATTTCTTTCTTTACCCATTGTTTATGTTCGATTTTGCTTTTGTTAAGACTATTGCAAAACTTGATCGATTGATTGTTTTGAGATTTTTGTTTTATTCAATTGGTTTTAAATGGCAACAACACCAGCCAGCGCTTCAATTCTCAGCCAGTCCGTCCGACGTTTTATTTGCACGAGAACTTTATCTAGACTGAAGAAACAGAAACGTTTTGTGAAGATACAAACCTCAGTCACTGGTAAACATGCATAGCAAACCTTTTATTCGGCACCCTACCCATTTACGGGGAGACAGTATTAGTAGGGTCGATAGGTTTGCTAACATTGAACTTCAAAGGTATTTACACTTAAAATTTAAAGTGTTTTTTTTTCATGGTATTCAAAAAAAATATATTTCTTTTATTGCAAAATATCTGATAAAATTACATAATATAAATTATTTACTTTTTCTGATTATTATGATGACTTGCTCTTTTAATGAAGACTAATTTTAGCCATGCATTCCTCAATTAAAAATAATTATGAAGGGATGATACATACATAGCGGTATGGGTAGTAGTTGGACATACAGTGCAGTAAGCCACTGTTACGAATGGAACGACGTTACTTATTTCCTATGATATGTCAATGTTAAAATAAGAGGTTAGGATGCTGTTTGTACGTAGTTACTTGTGCGAATTAGACGTTATAATCCCATCATTTGATAATGGTTTTTTATACCCTCCACCTTGAAAAGGAGGGCATATTAAATTTGTCATTCGGTCAGCAACATCCCTAAATATTCGTCGTGGACCCCATAAATTATATACATATTAAGTTTGTCATTCCGTTTGTAATACCTCCAAAAATACATTTTAGACCCCACAAAGTATATATATTCTTGATCAGCATAAAATTCTATTTCGATTTAGGGATGTCCGTTCGTCTGTGGAAATTACTCTAGCTTCCGAACGAAATAAAGTAGATTGATAAAATTTTACTCAAATGTATATGATTTATGCAGGACTTTTGGTATTGAAAATGGGCCATGTAGGTCCACGTTTTGGTATAGCCACCATATAATGGTACCTTCCTATTTTCGGTATTTTGGTGATTTAAGCGACAGCATTCACCGGAAATGTTTCAAATTTGGTATTTGAAGTTCGTAATGGTTACAGCCTATGACAGAAAATTCCTTCCTATTTTCGGTATTTTGGTTATTTAAACGACATTATTCAATAATCGATACTTCAGCCTATGACAGAAAATTGTCTGTGCAGGTCCACGTCTTCATATAGCCCCCATATAACGGTACATCCCGATATTCGGTACTTTGATGACTTTAGCGCTTTATTTACCGGAATTGTTTCAAATTTGGTGTTTGAAGTTCGTAATGAATACTACAGCCTATGACAGAAATTTGTATGTGCAGGTCCACGTCTTCGTATAGCGCCCATATATAACAGTATCTCCCTATATTCGGTATATTGATGATTTTAGCTACATTATTCACCCAATTTTTTTTCAAGTTTGGCATTTGAATATTGTAATGGCTTATGACAAAAGTGGCCTATGTAAGTCCACGTCGTCGTATAAACCCTAATATGACGGTTAAATTCGATATTTTTAAGACTAACAGAATTTTTAACGGATATCTTTTTTTCCAAATGGTGGAGGGTATTTAAAGTTCGGCCGGCCGAACTTACAGCTTTTTTACGTCCGTTTTTTTTTTTTTTTTTTTTTTTGATGGAATGTTATATGCATCGGCAAAATCTTGCTATTTACTTAATTCTAGTTTTTTGTCATCGCGGATCATCACACCAGCGTCATTAGGTTTTGTAATCGGACGTTTACACTTTGTATAGCGTTACTCATTATGTTAGATATTTTCGGCATTTAAATTGTATATGAATAACATATTATATTTTAGCTTACTATTAATTAGAGGGTATGTAGGTGCTATTATTTTTGGTCCACTGATAATGTTTACCAATTGACGTATGTGCTTACTAATTTTAACTGGGAAGTCTTTAAAATTCCGAAAGGTCTGAAAAAGTAATATTTAAACAAATTGATTCGCTCCAAACACTTGAAATTTTGGGTGCCGTTCAATAAGGAAAAACTTATAAAAATAGCTATACAGGGTGAGATAAAAAAAAGCAAAAAAGTCAAAAACCATAATTTTCACATTTTTTTTTTTAATTTATTGAATGAAATTAAAAATGTTGGAAATAGCAACAAACTTTAGAATAAATTTAGATTTGTTCGAATTGGTCACCTTTGGCACGAATTATGGCCTTCAAACGGTCAATTATTTGAGGGTTCAAAGAAAAATTGTTCTACTGAATGGTCTCGTAATGGTTACAAGACTATACAGCGGTGAGATGAAAAACCTGCAATCAACTTCAGACTGCTGTCATTTCTAAACCACTCGTCCGACAGCTGATAAAATTATTCCACTGACAGCTTATTATATTGTTTACAAGCGTACAAAAGCATTTTGGTGAGAATTTTCCAAAAAAAAGTTATTCGTGATGGAATTCAAGCGTGATAGTGTGATTTCTTTATATTTGGCTGGAAAACCACAAGTGGCTATCGTTAGAGCCCTCTAGCGTTTAAATGTGAATAAATGTTTTGTGTCTCGTACCATCGCTCGTTACCATAATACTGGTAGCGTAGCCCGATGTCACGGAATTGGACGGAAGAAAACAGCAACATCAGCAGAAATAGTTTGAAAAGTAAAGAAGAGACTTAATCAAAACCGGTGTCGCACTGGCCGAACATATCGCAATATTCCATTCGGTAAATATTGAAAAATGAGCTCGGGGTAAATCCATTGAAATTCCAAAAAAATGCAAGAACTTACACCGCAACAGAAAGAAAATAGACTCAAAAGGGCTTAAGAGTTGCTTCGCTTGGCGGACAGTGGTGAACTGCCGAATTTGGTTTTTTCCGATGAGAAAACATTCGTTGTCCAGCCGTTTGTAAACAAACAAAATGATCGTGTTTACTTGCCAAAGAGGTCAACTAAAAATGTGCACCTTCGGTTGGCCACCAGAACTCAGGGCCGCCATAACAGCCGAAGGTCGCTCACCGCTCGTATTAACCGACCGTGGCATCAGAATAAATGCCGAATATAGTCGCGAAAATATGCTGGAGAGTGTATTAAAGTCTTGAGCACGCAAACTTTTTGACCGCAGACTTTGGACATTCCAACAGGACTCAGCACCATCGCACTCAGCACGCGCTACCCAAGAATGGTTACAAAATGAGGTTCCTCGCTTCATTTACAGCGCACAATGGCCACCAAAATCTCCGGATATCAATCCGTTGGACTATTTTGTCAGGAGTATTTTGGAAAGCGAGGGTGGTTAAAAAATACCAAAGTGTCGATCACCTCAAGCAAGCGTTTCGCCGGGAATGGGCCAAAATACCGCAGAGCAACATTCGGGCTGCGTGTTGCGGTTTCATTGGCCGTTTGAAGGCCATAATTCGAGCCAAAGGTGACTAATTCGAAAAAATATAAACTTATTCTAAAATTTGATGCTATTTTTGACATTTTTTACTTTTATGCAATAAAATTTATCTCACCCTGTATATCTTTGTACGATTTCAGGTTTATTGTGGCTAAAAAGTGTAACATTAGCTGAAATAAGAAGGATTTTGATGAAAATCTGTTCAGTTCTTAAAATTTAGTAGAAATTGATTAAGAAGCGGATACAGTTCAATATATTAGTTCCTTTCGGATTTAAATTTGATATGCTTTAAAGGACCACGTCGTATAGTCCCCAATATAACGGCAATATTCAATATTTTTAAGATTTTAACAGAATTTTTAACGGATTTTATTTTTTGAAAATTTTCAAATTCGTTTCAAATGGTGGAGGGTATTCATAGTTCGGCCCGACCGAACTTACTGCTTTTTTACTTGTGTATTTTTTAAAATGTAGCCCTTTTCCCCGATTCGCTGCATGTTTTCGTATAATTTCACAGTCTGGGTTGTTAAGATTTGACAAACATTCAGCATTTTATGCAATTCGCCAAGAGGAAAACCAAAATATATTCTATAAAAACTGATGTTTTGGTAATTGGTGGGAAATTCCACGTGAAGGTGATAGTAATCAAAAGCCCCAATGGGGTTCGAATTTTCAAGGCAAACTTATTTGGAATTCTATATATAGCCTAAACCATACACAAGAGGTCCACAATAATTTGTTGTCGCAAACATCTATAATCATTGGTACAAAATTTGGTCGGTCCACTAAAATCATGAAGTTATCGGAAGGCTGAATCGACTTAGAATTCTATGCTGGTCCATAATATATACCTTGTAGGGTCTATCATGAGTATATCGAGGAGTTACAAACGGTATGACAAAGTTAAATGGTATAGGGTATATAAATAACTGTAAATCCCCCCTTTCAAAAACTTGCGCATAACACAGACAAAGCACACACAACAAAATGCGACCGTGACGTAGGGTATAACCATTCCGTTTTATCTGCTAAAAATTTAGTTACACCAATGACGACTTAGAAGCAATGAATAATAATGAGGAAATGTAGTTTTTTACGACATACTAACGTTTCTTAGAATTTCCTTCTAATGTTGTTAGATTTTGCGACACAATCATAAACCTGTTGTCACAATTATTTGCAAATAGGTGCTGTGAAGCAAACATCGTCACTTTTGTACTGAACCAAACAACATTTAGCAAGATACGTATGCACCTTGAAAAACAAGTGCGTAAATGTGCCAATGACCCTGCCAACAAAATATGAATTCGACACAATTCTGAAGTGGGCACTAACGGTTCGCTTTCCTTGAGCAAAGAAAGTTTCTAAAGTGTTATCCAACTAACGTTACACTTTAATTCGAAACTGGGGAAACTATGATCACAAATACTTTCTTAAAAAAAAAAAAACAAAGCATAACAAAACATTATTTATTATTATTTTTTATTTATTTATTTATTTTTTTTTTTGACAATCTCAGGTCTTTTTGAACAGTAATGGATAATGTTGCTCTGGAGTCATTCTGCATCTTGGATACATAATCGATTTGGAGAGCAAATATCTTATCACTACCATGGTTCGTACAAGGTTATGCCAGTATAAAATCGTATACGTAATGAGAAATGGGAATCATTCATTCCAATCATTTTTTATCCGAAATTCATGCTAGAAAAAAGGATTCAGTTTAATTTTACCTTTTTTCTATAAT